GACACAGGGACGCAACCCACGGCAAACGGGCTGCCCACTTTGGTCGCCTCTTACGACCAGCAATGGGGTGCTGTGGAAATATTCTACCCCGGTTCCACACGGGGGAAGAGCTATTAGCGCTACCCAGCACTCACCACGAGGAGGTTGCTCTTCACGAGTGCCCATCGCTATTTAGACCCGTTAATCCGACAGCCTCGCACTCCCGACATCGACACACCTAATTTGCAACGAACCACTGAAATCACTTATTAATTAGTCTCGTTAATCCGACACAGTCATCAACGTACTCCGTGGTCATCTGCCCGCGAGTACACAGACACGTGTTTTGATGCGAGACGAGTCGGCGAGTAGCTGCATATTTCAACGGCTGCAGAGATAAACTTGCTTAACAATAAACAACTACTGCTTTCAATAAACAAAACAGGATTAATCACATGCCTTGATTACCTCAATCTTATTAAACTCATATACAAAATCTCGCAACCGCTGTGTACTTTACAGGTCACGTCAGAACGACCTTCCGCGAAGTTTGACCGACCAATCAAATTACTAACAGGAAGTCGACACAAGCCACTATGAAAGCAGCTTTCTAAGCATTTGCGGCACTAAAGTACTCACGGAAATGAAAAAAAAACTGTTTTTTTCGATCTCAGATTTTAAATAAATGCAGTTAATATACAAAATATAGAAATATTCAAACAACTCAATTAGTACTAATTGGGCTTTGGCACAAATACAGCGTATCAAAGGTTTAGACTAGTACTTTTCCAGTTGTTTTGTTATTTCGTATTTACATCTACGTAATGCTTTGTGTCGATTATTAAATCAAAACAGTTTTTTTCCATTTCCATGAATACTTTAGTTTCAAATTGGCGACTTGCATTCCCAACTATGCCTTATAAAGTATTTTAAGTCAGACATACACTCCGTATCAGTAGTTTTTGAAAACGTATTCCGCTAACATTTATTACGAGTTTGAATCGTTATCGATCGTGTAGTTGTCCGATTTTCGATCACGAACGTTAAAACAACCTAATTTCGTTTATAATAAATAACAATAGACACGATGAAACATACATGTAAACACGCGCGCGCACTGAATATCACAGGCAACATTGTGTGTAGAAAACATATTGTCCACGTGTTTTCAGAATTTGAAAAACCAAGTAAGCTAATGGAATGTATGCCCGGGTAAAAATATTTGCATAAAGCGAATTCCGACCTGTCGATAACGGACAAGTACGTAAACCATCTGTCTAGTCATTGAATAAGATCATGTTTTCTTCCCCATTTATATTTATACTTGATGTTATTTTTCTTATTGTTGCCATAACACGCGCAATTGAACTTGCAACAAACACCCGCCTGAAACACGTAGTGCTCTTTGTGATGCTGATGTATCCCATAATTATTATTGTTCGTGTTCACTAATAAATGGAGCTGTTGATGACATCTGAACATGATTTCAGAATGAACATATATATTTGGTGGGACTAAATATTTCATAAAGCAAAGAATCAAGACAACAGCCGTACGGATTTCTTCCGTTGACTTTTATTTCTAACATCCTCAAATAAACGATCAAAACGATATGCCTTAACCAGTCAGGGTGGCCTCTTTGGGATGTGGATTTTCAATTCCTACTGCAGGACCCGGTTTTTCTCGTGCGTGGGCAAAGTCACTGAAGCGCGTGTAAAAGGACTTTGAATATTCTGTGTATTGGTGTCACGTCACCATTAGCGCTTGGTTGATTCCCGGCCTTCATTACCACAAGGAGGCTCGTTTGGGTGTCTGCGGCCTGTGCGGTTAGCGGGTGATTGTGGATACATGGAAAGACGTGTGTGTACTTGAATGTGTGTGATTTAAAATTGACGTGTTGCACTATCAGGATTGTTTGAAAATTATTACGTGAACTTCACGAGTTTAGTGGTTTATCTATTCATCATAGCACACAATGAATGGTCTACGATTCAATACGTCATTCAGTAGATGTTGAGAGTTCACACAAGCGTGTGGGTATTTCCTATATCAATTACCCGTATTTTCTTGAGTATAGTGCGCAACCCCCTCTAGCGGATTCAGTATTTTAGGGGGAAAAATCGAATGTCAAGTGCAGAAATAAATTACACTGTAGATCTACCCCTTCAGCGAATTCCGGTAAACGAACGGGTGATGAGAAACTTGGTCAGTACAAATTCAAAATTTGAGATAAAAATCACCAGACAAATTTATTTACCGTTTAAATTGTATTTTTTGTTCTGCCAGGCATTGTTTTACATCCAGGGATTAAGATTACCTTGTGTATTTTCTCGTAAACTAAGCCGGACACAGCTATCAGTTGTACACACGTTTTCTTGGAATCTACCGGTGATTCGGTCAAGACACACCCAATGATATATAACTTTACAGTATTTTAATGCAAGGATCGGCAAAAATTGTATCTGAAACTATTTTTTATCAAGAATAATATATCCCAATATCTTGTTAATTTAGTTGCAGCTTTTACTAAACATATTTTAAATAATAATAACCCTTAGCGAAGCAGCTGATCGCTATTGCCGGGTATTAATTTTTCACATGGAACCAGTCTGACCAGTCACCGTCAAGGCTCTCGCGCACGTGATCGCGAGAACTACGTGTTGACATAGAATCGTCAAACTATAACAAATATGACTTTTAACGAGTCAAAGTATGGCATTTATGATATATGTATCCATTCTCTGTCAATTAAAGTTCGTTTCAAGGCGTCAATAGCGGTAATCTGACCGTGGTCGCTGTTAATAAAGGTGAGTTGCGCGATCTTCCGCTCGCTTCCACGCGATTTCGCCGAAATTAATTAAAACAGTATTTAAAGGAATTTTGAATAGAATTAATGAAATAATTACATACATAAGTCCAGATATAAAAAACCAACACTTTTTATAGCCAGACAGTGTCATTACATGATTAATTTGCGTACTTTAGTATGGATTTGTTGACATGGTATTTCCGGTGTTACGTGCCCACGGCAATATCTTTCCATGGGGGAAAAAAATCATCAAAAGTCATTATTTCGTGTATAATGCGCACCCTCTTCTACACAGCTATGTTTTTTGGACAAATATTGCGCACTATACTCAAGAAAATACGGTAGCAGCTGATTAGTTATTTCATCCACGTCATGGAACAGTTAACATGATAGCTGCAATATTGTTAACGAGCTGCATGAAACTATAAACTCACTCGCTCATTATGTTGTATTTTTAGATCACTTACATGACCTGTCTGATTGAAAGTTTTGATTATTATGAATAGTTCTGTTTTTTATGTATAAGAACCTATGTAACTTAGTTTTGCATTGTCTTCCATATATTTGTAATGCAAACATTCAAGCAAAATTCAGGTGAACCGTGTGGCGCTTAAGGTATTGTTTTTGAAGACCGGATACATTTTTGTATTTTCTGAACACTTTTCTGTTTGCAATGGCTTATTTACATGTTCAAAGATTGGTTAAATATCAGTTGCAAGATAAATTGTCAATACCCCACTGTTCGAGAAAACAACTTTTTACATGTGTAAATATGTGTTTCATAATTTTTGAATAACTAGTTTCTAAAGATGTTATGAATTGTTTCAGAACTTGGATTTCACAATCTGACACCAGCTACATTTAAGAAGATCTTGCTCAGACATGTCAGACAAGGGACTTGCCGGATGATGAACAATCCTCCCGATAACAACCAACAGATTCACCTCAGAAAGTGATGATTCTGAATGAATAATGCCACATCAGTGTGACTATAGTATAGTGACTATATATAGTATGACACTAATCAAGTCTGAATGAATTTATGCCAAAGCACTGTGACTGTGTCCAGGTTGTGTACACCGACGCTGACTATACAAATCTGAATGACTTTTGTGGTTTACTGCAGAAACATAATTTACTTTACGTATTCTTCTTCCATGAAATTCTTCTGAGATTTGACTAATTTGTTTATTTAGAAAATTGCATTGAAGAGTCTGTTCTGTAAGTTCTTGCAAACACCACTGGTTACTTTATGCTAGTTCCTCTTCTTGCTTGATCAAATTTCAATTTGTGATATGTACCAATGAAATGTCATATAATCAATAAATATGATTTTTTTTCCAAAAACATTATTTGTTTTGCTTCATAAGCATAAAGAAATATGATACTGATCAGCCATAACATAGGTGCTGAACAAATATAAAATATACTAATGCCCTGAATGTTTTCCTACTATGAATACAGCTCACTTAACAAAAGTTGTAGTTCCACGCTAGTAATCAAATGACATTGATATTTTTTTTCTGTGCTCTATTTAGGTGTTTTCTATGGATGCCATTAGTCTTATGCACCAATTTGGGACAATTGTATTGTGTTTCGTACTCCCATGAAACTACACTGTCCAGATATAACAAGTACTGATACCGTTCCAAACTAATCTTTTAATTTCACCAGGGCCAAATGCCAAAGCACATAACCAATGACTTTCCATTTTTTCTGAGTGAGAATGGTGTTATGCCACTTTTAGCAATATTGTAACAATATCACGGTGGGTGACACCAGCAATAAGCTTCACACATTTGTACCCATGTCGCGAATCGAACTTGTGAACAATGCATGCCCACATATCTTAGTTTTATGAGGATATTTACAACTAAAATAACACAGAATATCACAACAGCTATCTCATATGTACAGGCTAACATTAATAACCAGAAACAAGACATGAAGAAAATTTGCATCCGGATACCTTCCGGAAACCTTCCGGAAACCTACCAGATGCCTTCAGCAACCTTCAAAATTCTTGATATTTTCAAGATCATTTTTTATGTGTTTCACACTTAAGTGAACAAAATGCACCCCCCAAATTTTGACATTTTTTTTGGAAGGTTTCCGGAAGGTATCCGGGCCGGATCCAAAATGGGTAGGTATCCGGAAGGTTTCCGGAAGACGGAAACCTACACTTTTTTGCTGTGCACCTGAGGTACCACAGGCCTCCCTCCCTCGACGTCAGCTACCGGAGGTCTCCCCAGTGTCTGCTACTCCGACACTGCAACCAGCCCAGTCTGCCATGGTACACACTCCACCTGAGGTACCACAGGCCTCCCTCCCTCGACGTCAGCTACCAGAGGTCTCCCCAGTGTCTGCTACTCCGACACTGCAACCAGCCCAGTCTGCCATGGTAAACACTCCACCTGAGGTACCACAGGCCTCCCTCCCTCGACGTCAGCTACCAGAGGTCTCCCCAGTGTCTGCTACTCTGACACTGCAACCAGCCCAGTCTGCCATGGTAAACACTCCACCTGAGGTACCACAGGCCTCCCTCCCTTCTACCTTGAGACAAACTCCCTCCCCGGCACAGTCCACACTCATGATGTGACAGTCCACACAAGGCCACATCCATGGTGTGATAAAAATAAAGTAAACTAATTATCATTAATAATTTTTTTAGGTGTAACAGTTATTGTTGTTGGGTTTTTATTTAAAGGAAGAAAAGCATCATGTTTTTTTTATATTTTTTCATTTCAAAAGTAAAACAGAAAAGAAAAGGAAAAAGAATCTCCTTTCCTCCCTTCATGGTTTTTTCATCAAGTATAAACTAGTGACTTCAGTGAGCACTGAGAGTTTTATCAACCCAGTTGGATTCTGTGTCCCAGTCATAACAGTATGTGAAAAGAGTTATGTAGACTCTACAAAAAAATTGTTCCAAGTTCATAGTCAGTAACCAATATAGGGTGAGGTTTATCAAGCCAGCTGGATTTGATGTCTCATTCATCAACAGTGTGTGGTAGAGTTACTTTGACTGCACTCAAAATGACCTAAGATCATAGTCAGTGAGGTTATATCCCATTAGTTAGACGTCCCAATTGTTAGACACTTTTACCTAGGCAAAGAGGGATTATACCTACAGGTGTAATGGATAAGTCCTTATTAGATTAAAGTACTGAGTAGGGATAGGGGACTCACAGTTTAGGGAGTATATATGTTACAATTTCGTTTAATTAATCTAAAATACCTTACTCTCAGCACAGGTTCAATAGGCATGAGATTAACTATGTAAACTATGGAGTAGCTTAATTGTCTTACTGTATGATCAATTGAAGGTGTTGAGTTGAGATTATCTACTCATCAAACAAATAAAAATGATCTTGGGGTACGTATCATTATCAGTATCGATGATGGCTGGTTTAAGGAAAGTAGAGTACATCACCTCTCGGCGTGGAAGTAAGCAGTTGATATTAGATGGATATATTTACAACAGAAACCGCGAGAGGCAAACCTGCACACATTGGAGAGGTGTCGTCAAGACATGCAATGGGAAATGTACGACTGTCGGTGACTTTCTTCGCAATCAGTCGGAACATAACCATCCACTTGAAGATGAAACCAGAGTGACCTTTGTCAGCAATCTTCGTAAAAGAGCGCGAAGAAGAAACCACACAGATGCAAGCATTGTACGAGGAGCAAGTCACTCAAGTAGATGAAGCCAGCATCCCAGCGATGCCATCATTTCAGAGCGTGAAAAGTGCACCCTTTACATGGATGGTACCTTCACAGCATGTCCAGGTTTATGGGATCAAGTATACATCATTCATGCCAGAGTTGGTCAAAGCACCTTCCCTCTAGTGTTCGCCCTTTTGCCAGATCGTCAAGCAACAACCTATGAACCTGGGTGGATGATGACGCCAGATTCTCAATGCGCATGTGGAACCATTTCGAAACTGATGGACCCAGAACCAACGACAACCTTGAGGGATTCCACAGCCGACTGAACTACTTACTGCCACATGTTCACCCTAACATCTACAGATTCATTGAAGTCATCCAGAAAGTCGAGTTCAGTGAAAGGACTAAGGTAATGCAATTGAACTTTGGTGCGGCACCACGCTGACGCAAGAGTGAGTGAGTGAGTGAGTGAGTTATTATTTAACGTCACATGGGCAATATTTCAGCCATATCGTGACGAGAAAGTACATTTATGATACATTTATGATACATATATTTAAACTGAATAAAAAGCTGTCAACGAAGGACAGTAGAATAACTAGAATATCACAGACTTGATTTAAAACTAGTTGAGAATATTAAAAGGCAGTAAGCATTAATGAACATCACAATTTAAAAATGGGCTAGAAATCGTCAGCAACTGAAGGGAGATCACCATACTGGGGACCATGGGGACTTACAGTACTTTTGCTTCCTGCATGGACCCCGGCAGGATTTATATCATCCCTTCAGTCACTGGCGACAGTGTACCAGTTAAGCCTTAGATTAAAATAACGAAGATACTACGTTTAAAAGCCTAGTGTGCAGAAAAATACTTCGAATGATTTGGGACTTACATACCCTCTTAGGGGGACAATAATTTTACGCTACTTCAACCCCCCTCAAGGGTACAGCCACTAACAATCTAAGTTATGAATTTCGCACTACCAATTTGTAAAACAATACATTGAACACATCAAAATTTATGAAAAAGCTCTATTTCCTTTAAAAAACATAATATTAAACGAGAATTAACATCATTAAAAAGGTCCTTAATTGTTTTTACATTGAAATATTTATCCCTTGTGATGGAAAAATCAACACAGTCAAGCAGGACATGCTTGACCGTGATTCTTTCATCACAAGGGATACAAAACGGAGGATCCTCACCTTGTAATAAATATTCGTGCGTATATCTGCTGTGGCCAATACGACATCGTCGCATAATGACCTCTTCAAATCTTGACTGACAGCCCAAGTAGGTGTAACCGATATTTGGTTTAATTTCATGTAATTTATTGATACCTACTTGGGCGTCCCACTTCTGTTGCATAAGATCTCGGATGTAAGATCGAATCATGGGTTTAAAATCAGTGTATGGGATCAGAAGTGGTGTCACAGATTTGTTGAGGGCTGCTTTTGCAGCAGCATCGGCCATTGTGTTACCTTTAATACCAACATGGCTTGGTAACGAACAAAAGACGATGTCATATTGGCCAGTAGCAAGATCATTAAATAACTCAAGAATTTGGATTAAAAGTGGATGTTTTGAAGACATATTTTTAATTGCCTGAAGACATGAAAGAGAATCTGAAAACAGTATGAATTGTTTATGTTTAGATTGATTACTGATATATTTAAGTGCTGTAAAAATGGCGTTTGCTTCTGCAGTGAATATGGAACTGTTATCAGGTAAACGGGAAGAGATTGTTCTGGATCCAATGACAGTGGCACTAGCAACTGTGCCACCATCCTTGGATCCATCGGTAAATATAGATTTATAAGTGTCATAATTGTTTCTAAGTTGGTGGTATTCTTGTTGGTATATTAATTGGTTAGTATCTGATTTCTTAAGTTTGGTTAATGTCAGGTCTACCTCTGGCTTTACCATTTGCCAAGGAGGAGAGGAGAAAAGTTGAGTAGGAGCTATATCTTGGAGTTTAATATTTGAAGCTGATATTGCAGATTTTATTCTAATTCCGAGTGGTGGATGGAGTGCCGATTTCTTATTGTAAAGATCTTCGTAGAGAGGATGGAATATACATTCAAAAGCTGGATTTGACGGATTAGAATATAATTTAGTGATGTATTGTAGAGATAATTTTAGTCGGCGTTGTTTAAGAGAAGGCTCATCTGCTTCTATATAGAGACTGTGAATGGGAGACGTTCTGAAGGCTCCAAGACAAAGCCTCAGACCCTGATGATGTATCGTATCTAGTTTTTGTAAATTACTTTTGCAGGCTCCACCATAGATGATGGAGCCATAATCAAGTTTGGAACGAATTAGTGACCTGTACAAGTGTAAGAGGGTTGTTTGATCCCCTCCCCACTTTGAATTAGAAACAACTTTTAATAGATCGAGTGCCTTCAGGCATTTAGCTTTGAGGTATTTAATATGCGGGAGAAAAGTTAAGTGATGATCAAAAAAAAGTCCCAAGAACTTGGCTTCCTTAACAACTTTGATAGGAGTGCCATTCAGAAATAGTTCAGGGTCCTTATGCGGTTTATATTTTCGGCAGAAATGTATGCAATTAGTTTTTGATTTGGAAAATTTAAACCCGTTTTCTAGACACCACTTGTTAATTTTATTAAGACATAATTGTAATTGCCTTTCAATTGTGTGCATATTTTTACCCCGACAAGATAGATTAAAATCATCCACAAAAAGTGATCCATCAACTGAATCATTTAAAACTTTTGACAAACTGTTAATTTTTATACTGAATAAAGTGACAGACAAAATACTGCCTTGTGGGACACCCTGATCCTGATTATAATGATCAGACAGGGTTGTACCCACTCGGACTTGAAATTGCCTGTCTGTTAAAAACTGGGATATAAAATGAGGCAGACGGCCTCTTAATCCAAAATCATGAAGATCTTTTAAAATACCATGTTTCCATGTTGTATTGTAAGCTTTTTCTAAATCGAAAAAGATCGATACAGCATGTTGTCTATTTACAATGGAGTTTTTAATGAACGATTCTAAACGCACTAAATGATCGATAGTACTTCTGTTCTTCCGGAAACCACATTGTATATTGGTAAGAAGATTATTTGTTTCCAAGTACCACACTAATCGATTATTTACCATGCGTTCCATCGTTTTACAAACACAGCTAGTAAGAGAGATAGGTCGGTAATTTGATGGATCAGAATGATCCCGCCCAGGTTTGGGTATGGGGATAACAATGGCTTTATGCCATGAAGGTGGAAATGTCCCTGCTGTCCAAATATCATCGAATATATTCAACAAAGTTTCAAGACATGATTCTGGCAAGTGTTTAAGTAGCTGATAATGAATATTATCAGCGCCTGCTGCTGTATCATGAGCTTGCCCTAAGGCAGTATGTAGCTCATGTAGTGAAAATACCTCATTGTAATCTTCACCATTATCAGATGTAAAATTTACTTTTTTCTTTTCCTGTTGAAGCTGATATTTTTGAAATTCAGGAGCGTAATTAGATGAAGAAGAATGATGAGATAAAGTTTCACCAATGCTATTGGCAATGGCAGATTTATCAGTTAACAAAGTATCGCCATCCTTCAGATGGTTAACTGTAGAATTTGATCCCTTGCCTTTGATCTTTTTAATCATGTTCCATACCTTGGACATAGGGGTACGAGAGTTAATTTTGGAGACGTAAGTCCGCCAGGATTGACGTTTATTTTGCTTAAATAGACGTCTTGCCTTGGCATTTGAAATTTTTACAATATTTAAATTATGGACAGTGGGATGTTTACGGAAGTACTTCTCCGCCTTCTTACGACATTTCCTAGCTTGTTTGCAAGTGTCATCAAACCACGGTTTACGAACACGTGGGTTGATCGAGGACTTAGGTATTGATTCATCAGCAATTTCATTCAGTAGATCTGAGAACAACTGAATCGGGT